GGAGGAGGAGGAGGAACTGAAGGAAGCCAGCAGCTGTCTCAAGCTTAGCGCAGACTTTGCGGGGCTTCCTTACACACTCGGCACCGAGTCTCAAGCTCCAGGAGTGAGGTCGTGACCATTGACCCCACCTCCCTTTCAGAATTGGTCCCCAGGGCCCGGGGCCAGCAGGATGTGAACCTTGTGCACCTGGCAGCATCAAGGGGCTAGATTGGGGGGGGGGGGCGCACACACATGGATGCTTCTGGAGATGTGATCCAAAGGTCTGAGTCAACCAGCAGGGGAAAATAGGGTCCCGAGTCTGTGGCCCCTGGGTCAACACAGGCAGCTTCCACAGAGAGTGGGCAAGAGAAGGTGGAAGGTGAGAGGAGGCAGGAGTACACACCACCACCTACTCGCCCGCCCCAGCACGCGGCTGTCTCTTCCCAGCCACCAGCCCTCACAGCCACAGCGCTCCGCGCGCCTGCCTCCATCAGGGAAATTCCGAGTGCCGGCCAGCCGCCAGCCCAGTCCAGGCCACAGGTGCTTGCGCTCTGACACCCTGACGCAGCCTGTGGTTCAGCTGGCAGGGGCTCCAAACACCGGTCCAGTGCCATTCACGAGTTGTCTGAGGAGCCCAGCTGACAGCGCTGGCCGCCGACGTCTCTGTCCAGCGCTAGCTTCGCTGCCTGGAGCGACCTCCAGCCGCTGCGCTGCACGGCTCCTCCCAAGCTGCTCAACTTCTCTCTGCCCTACTTCTGCCTACTCTCCGCCGTCGCGGCTGCCACCGACCTGCAGCCGGGAGCCCCGGCACCAGAAGGGCATGAAAAGACAGCCAATGTTGGGCCACAGCCTCTGTGCCACCCTTGTCCACCCTCATCCCAGCTTCTTCTTCCTGCCCTCTGTCCTGGTCAAGAAAGTGGGTTATTCCTTCCTGGAGTTGATGGCTGTCTCCAAAGAACATCATCCGCTTGCTCATTCATGCAACTAGCGTTTGCGGGCCTTCTACGCACCAAGGGACTGCCTGTCTGGGTACTTGGAGATGAAAAAAACAGTCTTCAACCTCAAGGATTACATGGTCCCGTAGGGCCACGCTCATCACAATCCCGCACAGCTTCAACCTGGCTCTCTTGTCATCTTCCTGGGAAAAACTCTAGAAAACCAGAGCAATCCACCCCACCAACGGGGCGTCCACAAAGCCACCTTGCCACCCCACCAACGGGGCATCCACAAAGCCACCCTGGTCACAGACCTTTCTTTCCAAATCCACTGGCCTCCACCCCTTTCCTGACACAACCGTGTGCCACCCCACCCTCACCCCAAAATACAACATTTGAAGCTTCCAAAGCAGGACAAGAAACTTCTGGAGCTAAAGCCCACAGCCACCCTCCACAGCCGCAGCAGATTGCCACCGTTCTGCGATACCCACAGAGGCCATCGCAGTGGCCGCTGCCGGCTCGGAGCCCTGTGCAACTCCACACTGTGGCTCACTCTGGACAGGCAGGCGCTCCTGCAAAGGGACCCGAGCCAGCTCCCACCTTCGGCTCCACTCAAAGTTGGGCGGGGCTTTTGAAAAAGACCTTTAGCATGAGCCTGGGTGAACCCGTCTTTAACCAGCGTCCCAGCGGCTACAGTGTCCTCGAGGAGGGGCTGGGGAGGCCCTGCGGGCGGCTTACCTCCTTCAGAAGGCCTGCTTTCTTCTTCAGCACCTCACACTTGCGCAGCTTGCATATCTGGTGCGTGCGGCGGTTGGTACAGCTGGTGCAGGCCCCGCAGTTCTCCGGCCTCCGGCAGGGCTCACAAGTCCCACACCGCTTCCGTTTCTTTCGCCCATCTCCACCGCCTCGGAGTTGGGGCTCACTAGCGGTCATCGGCAGGCCAGGTCCCTGGAAGCCCCCCACCATTACTTGGCCCTGAGGGAAGTCATAAAGGCCAGGTAGCTCTGGCTGGACGGCCAGGGGCACCTGAAACTGGCTCATGGCGCGACCAGAGGTGGGGGCATAGGTGCCGGGGCAGAACCACAGCCTAGATTCTTGCCAATAAAGGTCACCAAACAGATGCCCTCCTCTCCTAAAACTCTGACACGTCTACAGGCTTGAAGACAAGTAGCATCGGTCTCCCAACGGGTGCCTCTTCTTGCTCCGACCGTCTTCACCTCCGCTGCAGCAGTCTGACAGGGCTCAGTCGGGGGCTACGCTCCCACGGGCTGGGACCCAGGACCTGGGGGAGGACACCAGCAGCCGCCCCAAAGACATCTATCATCTTGCCTGGGTGGGTCCTTCACCCTGGCCCACGCGGACCCCACACATGAGGTGAGTGGGTGTGTGTCGGGGGCAGGGCAGGGCAGGGAGTGTCCTCCTGGTATTTCTCCCTCTGGGGTCAGGACCATAAAGAAGAAGCAGCTGCCTGGAAGAGACAGAAAGCGGAAGCGCATCACTAGGGGATCAGGGACACTTTTACGTGTTACTTCTTCCTGCTTCGGGAAAGAAGAGAAAATGGGGGAAGAGGAAGGGGCTCGCTCAAATCAAAGGCTGCCCAGAGCCTTTGGCACAAGCCAACCTGGGCTGCCTGTCTCTGGGAGGCGGCCTGGGCCAAGGGCCGGTGGGGAAGGTGAGATTTCTAAGAAAGTTGCCCTGTGCCCCACCCCCACCTCCAGGGGCGAGGGAGCGTTTCAAGGAAATTCCCACACACACCCCCTCTCGGGAGGCCACCAGGCCCTCCCCAAGGACACACCGTTTCCCAAATAAAGTTTGCTCCGCGCTGGGCTCCTGGGGCTGCCCGGCTCTCCGGCACGGAAGCGGCCTGCAGGCCAGGAGGGCGCTCCGGGATAGCCCGGCCGGCC